GGGGAGGGAGAGAGAGAGAGAGCGAGAGAGGGAGAGAGAGAGAGAGAGAGAGAGGGAGAGAGAGAGAGAGAGAGAGCGAGAGCAAGAGAAAGGGAGAGAGAGAGGGGGGGAGAGAGAGATAGGGTACGTTCCCATTACAAATTTGCTATATTTTATAAATGGCAATAAAAGACTATTGCAAAATGACGGTGTTTCCATTAACCCATGTTATGCGACTACAAAACGTGGAAAACGTAACTTTTTCCTCTCGCGATAAGTCATAGCGACAGATGTTGGTAGGTTTACGTGTATCGCAGCCACCGCACTAGCCACATAAGTGTGTATTAGGGCTGCTCTAATCGCAATTACAATTATGGATGCCACAATTACGTAATCGTTCAAAGCAGCAATTAATCATTCAAAGTCCACTTAAGTTATTCTGCACACTTAAGATATGTTTTTTCTTTTTACATGTTATCTTAAGGGTTGTTCCATTGTTTTAGTTTAACATTATAATACCATTCATATTTTTACTTTTTTTATAATTTAAAGAAGAAACCAATCTGATGTATATTTGACATTTGAGGCTTAATACTATAGAAAAGCACTAAAGGTTTTTCAGTTAAGAGTTTTCAGCTTGTTTATTCTCATATAAAAATATGGCATGCAGTCGCATCAAACAATGGTATAAACATCATTCAATGTAAATTGTGATAATTGTAATTAATAATCGAAATTACAATTTCAAGGGAATAATCAACAATTATGATTTTTGTCATAATCGTGAAGCCCTAGTGTGTATCTTTAGAGAAGGAGCGCGAAGAGCTGCTTCTGGGCCACTTCTGAAGCCTGCCGCGGCTGGTGTAAACACAAGCATTGACTAGAGTGCCGTGTCGGGGCGTAATGCAGTGTAAATAAGGGGTTATTCAAGTTAATGGCAAGGAAAGCCCCTTATATTTGTGAGCGGCCACGTATGAGGTGTTTCTTGGAGGTTAAAGAATGATCATGCGACTTGTAAATGCGAAAAAAAAAGTTTCTATTGCAGTTTTGCAAAATTTTCTTTTTCGAATTGCCTGAAAAACCACCTCGTGTGAGCGTAAACATTTTTTTGCGATATATGGGAGTTTTTGCGAAATTGACACGTTTCTATTGTGTATTTGCAATTTGCGCAATTTGAAGGGTAATGGAAACGCAGCTAGAGAGAGAGGGAGAGAGAGAACATCTAACGCAACTGATGGGACAGAAAAAGAAAGAGACACACACACACACACACGCACAGAGTGATGATACAGTACAATCTAACAGACATAATAAGTGTTAACAAAATTTTTTTCCAAACAATAATCAATTATAAAGTAACAATTTTCAGTATTTTTAAAAATAAAATTGTATAATCCTATATTCCCATTAACTTCCATAGTATGGAAAAAAAATAGTATGGAAGTCAGTGGAGACCAGAAACTCTAGTTTGGCCAGAATTCTTCAAAATATCTTCTTAGTTTGAACTCAAATATTTTAAAAAGCAGAACCAGAAGCTGCTTGGTTACTGACATTCCTAAAAAGATCTTCTTCTGAGTTCAACAGGTTTGGAACATCATGAGAACATTTTTGGGTGAACTATCCCTTTAGGAACTAAGTGTATGATTTGTGTAATTGTTTCAAATAGTTTCATCAGTATTAAAATAAACAATATTATCACTTTCTTAAATAATGCTAAACATTTTGCACTATTGTTCATGGGGTATGTGCTTGTGACAGACTGGCCCACATTCTCAGCAGTGTTTAATTGATCAGATCTCTGCTGAGGTGCAGCGTATGGTGTTGCGCTCCACCCTGAACACACACACACACACACACACACACACACACACACCCTATAAATACAATGTCTGCATACAAGAGCTCTCACAGAGGAGGCGGGCAGGCTCAACGTTTCTGGAGGAGCCACAAAACAAGAACAAGTACAAAGTAGTTCATAAAGAGGGTTTAAAGGTAAAGAAGAATAGGTGCAGCAGGAGTGCAACAAATACTTATAGACACAGAAAAACAACAAATATGCTGATTATGGTCCTGCAGCAGGGGGACAAAAACCTGCCATAGCCAGACAAACTTCCAACAACACGTAAAGGAAACTGATCTCAGAGCAGCAGTTATGTGCAATAAAATAAAAAAAAATTAAATAATTAAAATATATTAAAATGCAATCAATTAAAAACATTATTACATTAAAATAAATAAAAATAAATGAAAAACAAACAGCCATTAGCATGCAAAAAAAATAAAAAAATTACATTAAAATCAATTAAAATAATAGAAATACATGAAATGAAAATAAATGAAATAAACAAAAAAAATAGATACGTGAATAGTGATTATCAGATTATGTGTTCATAGTACATATTTTATTTAAAATGAATGAATGAATGAATGAATTAATTTAGGGCTGCACAATTAATCAAATTTCTAATCACGATTACAATTATGAATGCCACAATTACGTAATCATTCAAAGCCCACTGAAGTTATTCTGCGTGCTTAAGATGCGTTTTTTTCTTTCTACATGTTATCTTAAAGGTTTTTTCCCATTATTTTAATTTTAGTTTTAGTATAACATTATAATACCATTATTTATAACACATATTGTTAATTTTTTATCATTTAAAGAAGAAACCAATCCGATGTTAACTGTTGCATCAAACAATGGTATAAACATCATTCAATGCAAATTGTGATAATCGTAATTAATAATTGAAATTATGATTTTTGTCATAATCGTGCAGCCATAATGAATTGATTAAAATACAATAAATAAAAACAAACAAATACATACATAAATAGTGACTGTTAGAATGTGTACATAGCACATCTTTTATTTCAAAAGAGCAAAAAAAAAACAAAAAACTCCCAACTCAGTTTTCCATGACACTCCCTTAAGAGGTGGTGTTAAGGAGTGAGTGTGTTTGTATATATATGGAAGATGCTGAGATCCACCCAACTTATGACTTATGGCAATATGATTGCATTAACTCAAACACAGAAGTCAGAGGCCAGGGGTGACCTTAAGTAACCTATTAGAAACAGACTGAATCTCCAGAGCTCCTGATATCTGTGTTTATGTTGGACAAACACAAACCGTGTCAGAACAGCACACATGTATTCACACACAGAGACACATGTCTCAACCAGAGGGCTGACGAGCACTTTCATCGTGTAACGGCACTGATAAATGAAATCAGAACGCTGCAATCATCACAACAGAAGCTCAGACAGTTTTAAAGATGGACAGAGAAAGAACAAGAATGACCCTGCGGTCATAGAGCTGGACAGGAAATGAGATTGGTAAGAAACTCAATGAGGTAAAGAAAGAGAAACACTCACATCCTCGTCTAAGTTTGTCTGTTCCAGATCCAGCACTTTAAACTGCACCCTCTTAAAGATCTCCTCCAGAGATTCACATGATTTATAATCCAGCTTCTCTCCTACAGAGGAAAACACAGAGACAGAGATATTAGATTCAACTTTTGCACTGATACGGTTCTTTATATTCTTTTATTTTGTAAAAACACCGATCAAAGTCAAACACATAGTGATGATTTTTCTGCTACTTTCATATTTACAGTAAACTGGAATCATCTGATGGTGAGATCAGCTCGTCTATGGACACACACCCATTAACTACACAAACCAAACAAGGACACAAACCAGTCTTAACAGGTTGAACTCAACGGAGAACCTGCGTGTGAGAGTGTGTGTGTGTGTGTGTGAGAGAGAGAGAGTGTGTGTGTGTGTGAGTGAGTGTGTGAGTGTGAGTGAGAGAGTGTGGGTAAGTGTGAGTGAGAGAGTGTGTGTGTGTGAGAGAGAGAGTGTGTGTGTGTGAGAGTGTGTGTGTGTGTGTGTG